CTAACGAATTTGTTTCCACATAAATTATTATTCAACAATGCTAGGCAGCTCAAAATTTTATAACTCAAATGGCTCAAATCACTCAAAATAACGTCGTTTTGAGTGTAAAACGACATCAAAACGATATCGTTTTAAGTGATTTGAGCCATTTGAGCCACAAAATTTTGAACTACCAAACATTTTCCATTATCAATCATTATCATTAAATATTAAAAAGCACTTTTAATTTTTAAAAATGTCTCTGGCAAGATTTGTTGCAAGCGATATTTTTTATTTGAAATTGTTTTATATTTTTGTTTTAAAATATACACAACTATTGAAAATTGAAATATAATTTGAAATTTTTATACTTCAAAATTTTTGCATGATCTAATGACAAAAGAATCTTGTTCCGTTATTGCAATTTAATTTAAGTTGAAAAACACCACAACTTCCAAATAAATGAATTTTCAAATTTTATTAAGTCCATTTTTAACAATGAGTTGTAAGCATTAACTCAAAGAATAATGTTAACGTATGTGTTTAGCATATGTTTAAGAAATTTATTGCCAAAAAATTAAAAATAAATTACATTGACCTCTCTAAAATTTAGAAAAAAATATATCAAGTCACATTGGTTTAACATAATTACATTAACCTTCCTTTTAATAAAATTAAATAGATCAAAACTAATATAGATGATATGAAGATACAAACATATACAAGATAAAATATATATTTTAATATAAAAAATATAGCATATGAAAGAGCATATAATATATGGTATATAATATATGGTATGCAATCTACCCATTTAGTATGAAAGAGCATATAATATATTAAAGAGCATATAATATATGGTATGAAAGTCAATGTAATTTACCTTAAAAAATATTAGTACCCATTTAGTGTGAAAGAGCATATGGTATGCAATCTTTTTTTAGTCACATATAGGGGTGAACAAATGTCGGGTCAGGCTAGGTTTGGTTCAGGCCAGCAATACATAATAAAGAATTTTGTGTATGTCTAAGCCCGGCTTAGCCCTCCAAAAAATAATTATAAATTTCAAATTCACCCATCGGATTATATGTTAAAAAAATTTAAAATATTTTATAATTAAATTTAGTCGCACGTTATATTTTTTAAATAAATATATTGACATCATTATAAATTAAAAGATTTTATTTACAAATTAAAAAATTTCTTCAATAAATTCAATCACAAGTAAAAATGATGAATGGGATTGCGGCACACCACTCGCCGCCAATGCAGAAGGATGCCGCCGACAAGAATGGAAGATGTTTCGCTCTGCTGGATGTGTCGTATCCCGTATAACAAGCAAGCTAGAAACAGCGTATTTTTGCCTTCAAAATAGCCCTCAGAGGCAATCCACAAAGAAGAAAGTAGTTAGTTCCACCAGCGCAAGGAAGGCAAGCCACTCGCACATTACTTTTGAATGGAGCGAAGGGCAACCCACCTCCTACTGGTCTTCTAACCGACTCTCTGAGTTTCATAAGTTGAATAAAATTAATAAAGATAAAATGTAAATTTCAAAAAAAAATTTATTTTTTAATGTATTATAAATAAATAAATAATTACTTAATTTAATAACAGATCAAGCTGGATTAGGTTGAAAGTATAATTCTTAAACCCAGCTTATTAATATTTCAAGTTAAAAATATTAATTCAGCCCAGTTCTATGATCTAAAACAAACTTTTCAAGCACTAAAAAAATAACATTAGATTAGGTGAATTGAACGGACCAACGGGCCAATATCCACCTCCATTTATATATACACATTAACGTGATGGTTATTATAATCAACTAATTGAAACAGTTAATTGTATTCAATTTTATAATTGAATTTTGCGCATTTAGAATTAATTTTTTTTTATTCTCAATTCTTTGTTGGAACAGAGATCAAGTCCTTTGTCAAAATATGGGTGTTTTTTACTTTAAAAAAGGGTGAAGAAGGCAGGGAAAAGTTCAATATTTTATGCCTGGGAAACTGCTAATCACAAGTTGCATTTGTGACTAAAAAATTAAAAAGCAAATGCATTTTAAAATAAAAAGTAAATATATCTATTCTATTATACGAAAGGAAGGTCTCTGATTGTGTTGACATTTTTGTATCACATATTTTAAGTTTTTTTAATATATTCTTGTAGTTGATATTTATGTAAAAAGGAAGAGAACAAGACTTGAAATCAAGATTATGCATTTGACAAAGTAAAACCGTACCATTTGAGTAACAAATATTATATTCACATTTTTCTCTATCATTATTTTTATACTATTACATTTTTTTAGAATTACACATGTATTACGTGTGCGGTCCACTAATCAATGTTAAAAGGGACATCACAGGTATTTTTGACCAATAGAGAGAGTCTCTAATGAGAAAACAAAGGTAAAGTTTATCTGTGAATGGGCGATCAATAAACATACCATTAGTCATAATGTTCGTTGCTAAAGAAAATTTAAAAAATTTGTATGGTGGGGATAAAAAAAAATCTTAAAATTTGAACTCAATAAATTTTTGGAGATCAAACCTAGGTTTTTTTTATTTATTTTTTTGGGTGCAATAAAGCTATGATAGTTATTTTATTTATTACTTTATGTGTTAATATTATATTAATTTAATAGGTCTCATGACTCATGTTTGTTATAAATGCAATATTTACATGAGACTAAAAATATGAGAGGGTGGTTATGATTGTATATGCATGTAAGTTGCATGATGAATGATAATTATTTACTAACAATTTTTTTATTTATACAGAAATCAATTAAAGAATCGAACACAATATTTTTACATAGGCATAGAACTTACAAAAAAAATAAGAGTCATAAAGGTTCTATTGTATCTAATTTTGTAGTCAGTCTTTGTTTTTCTGAACTTTTTATTCCACCGAATCCTCCAATCCTCTGTGATGATGGCAATGAACGTCAGGGACCACTCAAATTTTGAAATAATGATATTTTGGTACTTCTACACTTGGGTCTTGTTACTTTAATTTTTGTATTTTTATAATTAAGGGAGAGATGACTATTTTTATATCTTGTAATTCTTTGATTATAGTAAGAATCGCAACAATTGTAAACATGATTTTAATTTTAAAGTGAACTATGTAAATTATGTAAATCTTCGTATATATTTGATTTATCGTTTCCTTATTATTATTCATGTGTTTGTATTTCATTTATTACTGATTCTAATTAAATGTATCAATTCCAAAAAAAAAATAAAAATAAATCAAAGTTTCATGTTTCTTGTACCACAATATAAATACTTTGAACAAGAAGAAACACAACTCAAAATTTGGTTTTCGTCGGCCGAAGGTTTGTTCAACTTCGTATGCAATGAAGGTAATAAATTGAAAATAGACTAATGTGAAGCCTAACATTTCAACCACTACAAACGTTAAAGCATGTTCAATATTGCAACAACATTAACTGAAATGAAAAGAAATTGGGGAGTTTGAAATTCCAGACACGTAAAGGAGGCACTGTTCAAAGTCAATAACACATGGAACCACAAGTCTGACAAGGTGCCGTTGAGCCCGATAATTTATAAAGAGAATCTAAAAAATTTCTCCCCCTAAAATTAGATAATCAATTGTTTTAATTAATTCCGTTCAAAAAAAAATTTTGTTTTAATTAATTTAAATTAATTTTACCATATAAATTATAAAAAAAAAAAAATTATACTCAACTATCAGACACAATCTTAAGACATTAAAAAAAATATATCATAATAGACAGGCGATTAAGTTACATCAAAAAGACTAAGTCCATTCACTAGGCTTTGTTTTCTTTTTAAAATTATTCAGTATCACGTAAGCCAATGCTACAAACACATTAATAATTTAGTTTTTCATTTCCATAGGAGGCCAGAAAGTTTATTGGCAATTCATTATGTTGACAATTTTTTCTGAGTAGATCGAACTATTTAAATACAAATAAACAAAAGATGATGAAAGAGCAACCCATTTTAGTACATGATCAAAGAGAGAATGCGTTTGTGATATTACCATATAAGTTTTATAGTTGTTGAAGGAATGAGACTGTTCAACATTCAACAGTTTACTCAGAAAAACAAAACATTCAACAGTATGTTCATATAATGGGGGCTTGAAAAATCTAAGTAATTATGAGGGTTCAATATATTTTGAACACATTCAGTCTATGGTCAACATTTTTAACAAAGTAACCTCAATCTTTTGTAATATTTTATTATCACCTGATGTGTTAATCTCATATTTGTAACATAGAAAATATTATGGTGGTGCACACCCTTCAAAAAGTATATATTATATACATTATAAAAAGAAAGAGATATAATTTTATATTTTTACATCATAACTAAACACAACATAAAACATAACTAAAAAATTCATAATTTGTAACTAAAAAAGAAAATACTATAACTAGAAATACATATAATACACCATTTTCAAAAGAGTGTATATTAAAATTTACCTTTTAACATAATTACATTAGTCTTCGTTAAAATTTTAATTCACATAACAATTAGACCAATTTTGCATTATTAATTCATTAATCATTTAAAATAGAAAAAATAATATAATCTCTTCTTTACTAAAATGTTTATTTATTTTTATTTATTTCAGTATCTACCGACCATCGGCATTAATTTTAATCACTTTAACCTTACAGAAAGAAATGTCAATATAATTATGTTAGAAGTGTCTGTATTTTTCTTAAACCTTAATGGAAGTGAGTGTAATTTACCCAAATTATAATAATGATAATAACAATAATAATAAAGTTAATTACACTAGGATTTGAAAAAAAAAATTACAATAAACTCCACTCATAATTACATTGAATTGTCTTAAGAGTTCTTATCTCGTGCCAAACAAAAAATAATACAAAATTAAGATAAACATAGAATTAATTATTTTTTTAAACATTTGTTTTTTTTTTTTGCTGATAAATATATATATTTTAAACAGTTTTAATGGTGTCAATTTATGAACCATGCCTGTTTGCTCAAAAATTTTATATAACACTACATAATTCTAAACAAAAAATCAAAGTTCAGTGGGTTCAATTGAACTCACTACTTCATGCATAGCTCCACCCATGTTAGAAACACTATTCACTCCCATCTGAAATATGCAAGCTTCCTCCATAGTTTTCACCAACAGATGCCTACAAAATAAGAGCTATGACATAAGAACATTACTTGAAACAAAATTCTCAGGTTAAAACAATAAAGTATGTAGAGCATGTAACATAAACAACGTATACACACAACTTTAATAAATAAATAAATAAATCCAAAACAATTGTCTTCGACCGCTAAAGATGTGCCTAACTGCCTACAAGACAGTTTTTAGACTGCTTACAAGAATACATACATACATACATACATACATATTTATCTTGTTCCAATGGCAACAAAAAATCTTAAATATCAAGAAAACATCACAGAAGAGGGCATGGTGACAGAGGTGAAGATACGAGGATGATGCCCTGGATCATATTGGAAGAAAATATCATTTTTCCATCAGTGTCAGGTGTTCCTCAGAGAGTGCACCTTAGGCAGCATTGTTACAAGATTGGTGGTTTCAATAAGTGTTCAGACAGCCTTTATTGGATTGATCACGTAAAAAGGACACATGTATGCTGTATGCAAAGAATGATAATCAAATGTTGTGGTTTTTTTACTTCACATCATGCAGAAGATATGCTACAGGATTAGGTGAAGTGTAGTGAAACTTGCATATCCTATGCGGAACCCACCATTCTGGTGAATTAGATCCACATAGTAGCATGAGGTGTCTTAGAAAGACAGGACACCCTTCACCCTTTTCTTTTTCCTTCTCATTCTGATCCTGGTGATGATCCATAATACAGACACAAGAGCAGAGTAGGCCAGAAGGGTGTGCATGTAGTTTTGAATCTGAAGCTACAGATGCCATCACATAACAATTTCCCATTTATGTATGCTGACGACAAGCCAGTAGGGTATGTGGGTAGTTTTCAATCTGAAGCTACAGATGCCATTGCACAACAATTTCTCATTTCTATATGCTGACAACACAATTACTTTATTGAAGAAATGTGAGCCAAGCCGTTGGCGTGTCCTCTACAGGACATTTTCAAAAATATATTATATTCTATTAATATCTTAGTTATTAGAGAGGGATTACTTTTTTTCCAGAACTTTGTCCAAATTTTTGGGAGATCTTTTGTAAGGTTGCGAACAAGCAGAGGCAAGTCAAATAGTGGGATGTTTGAGCTCAGTTGGTAGGATTCAGTGTGTGAGCTCTCTTAGAGCAGGTGTCAACCTCAGCCTAATATGTTCAAGCTTGGCCAAATGATATCAGATGAGTTTGGTTTGACTTGTTTACTTACTAAACAAGCCAAGGTCAAGTTTGAATTCTATTTCAAGCTCGTTAGACCATTACATTAAAAAATCCCAAAAAAATATAGAAAAAATATTTGTTAATGCTAAGGATATGATGACAACTTTCTCAAGGTGGAGTCCTACTTTTTCAAGTACAACCGCCATATCCGTGACCCAAGACAATGGCATCAATAAAGAGGAAATATTTCAAGCTGATATCTGTTGTAGAGGGCCTAATTCCATGCAAGTGCCAAACAGACTAGCTGGCATACACATGAAATAACTATGATGACATTGGACACACATTTCTGAGCATGAACAATTGAGGAATCGTGGTCTACTCTAGTTATACAAACAAGTAAAACAAGGTGGAGACCTCCTTTCCTGGGGGCAATATGCCAAACAGGGAAAGCTAGCAGACCGCATACCATATTTTCTGAGACACTTGACATAAAAATAATAACAACAGAAGTAGCTGCACTAACCTGAAGGTGAGGAAGGACGACATTGTAAACTTGAAAGAAAAATTTTGACTTTGTAGTAAACCTGCAGGAACATGTCTAAATTTCAATGAACAGCTTAGCACAAAGAAAGATGCTCAAAGAATGGTAAGCATGGAATGACATCTATAGCAAGCTAGTCAATGGAAACAATCCAGGAAAAGAAAGGTACTTAAAGGTCAAAAAATTCAACATATTATCAGACTAAAGAGTGAAAAGTCAGTGATGTGAGTAAAGTGCTCTGTCCATATAGGAAGAAGGATTGTTTGGACTAAAATAAATTTATTTGCATAAATCCTTACACATGGAAAATTAGTTTTGATTTGAAGCAAACAAGATTGAAATATATTGGATATAAATGAAATTTGTCCTAGTCCGATAAGACAGCCAACTAGAAAATTCATGGGCAAGGAAGCAAATTTTTTTTAGTGCATTGATTCTGTCCAACACAAATTAGGCACTTATTAAATACTACTAAGCACCAAAGGAAAGTTATCAATGAAGTGATGTGAGAGTAGCAATGTCGAAACAAACATTTTTCAGAAAGTCTATCTATTGAAGTACGTCCTGTTCTTCAAGGATATTTTATGTTTTACAAACTACACATGCAACCAAAAAAAAAGACATCAGCAGATTTTCATCATTCATGGTTGTCCCATTTAAATTTGCACAATACCTTCTAAGAAGACGAAAGCAAACATAGATCTCTTCAATATCTGTTTCTATTTGTCGCTTAATATACTGCTTGAGAAGATCGCACAAGCAACCAATAGCATCATCCCATCCATCATTACTTGCATCACTATGAAGTTCAGATTCTGAAAGAGTGCATTGCAAAATAGAAGACAGACGACCCCTCGAACCTGATCTGTAATACATGTCCGCAAGAAATTTCAAGATCGAGCAATTGCTATCTTTGAACTTCTCAACCCACTCTGGTGGATTTCCAACCCAAAGTTCATTCCTTGAAACAGAATTCATTGACCCAAGCCGATTCTCAGGACATTTCAGACATGGTGATTCTTCGGATTTGGATGTAGGACCCAAAGCAGCATCTGATGTGCATTCTGGCCTCCTATGTGCAGGAAGCACCTCAAGTATGTCAACTCTTAATTCCTCAGGCAGTTGTTGTAACACTGAGATATCTACTTGACTTAGAGATGAAGGCATTAAATCAATTTTATTAGGAACTGAAGTGAAAAAGACCGAATTTGAGGGTCCCTCAGAAGCAGGCTCTCCCTGATTGTTCTCAACTGGACAATTCTCTTCCTAATATAAACACCAGTACTAATCAATATAAACACAACAAGATAATGACCAACCAAATTAAAGACTTCTTCCTAACTTTTTCTGCATTAATGTGCAAATTAAACAGATTTCTTACAAACTATACAGCCTGCACCCTCATGAAATGTAACTTGTTAATTAATTCAGATAAAGGCCCACATACATGAACTAACATTATTATCAGAAATCATAATTAATCGAAGACTGGTGTATATTGAAAAGTGTCGTGTAATATATTCTTTCATCTGATTTTGATCAAAGCCACAGGTGGAATTTGGAAAATCTAATAATCTGAAGGAAGAGAGAAGACAGAAACCTATTGTTCAAGCAAGCTATTTAAGCAAATGAGAATGATACCTTATCCTCCACAGGGCTTTCATTTACACAAGCTGGATCCAGCCAAAAGGGTCCCTTACCCTCATTTATTGCAACTAAATTGACAAAATCAACATGTCTATTAGGTACTGGTACAAAGAGAAAAAGCTGCTCTTGAATAAGCAGGTCAGAAAAGGTTACCTTGTACTCTCTCCTGATGCATAGTGCACAGAGAATTGCTGGCATCCACATTTTTGCCTTTCTTTTTTGAAATCAAATTAATCAACTTCCCATCATACATATCATTAATTTCTGAAAACAGATCTGGAGGAAGACCTTCTATAACTCCCAAATCAAGATCATCTAAAGGTGGTAGAGCTAAATCCTGGTTTACGGGAGCTTCAGCATTTGATGGATTAGTCCCAATTTGAATTGAAGGTGAAACGGTGCACATCTGACCTGGATTTACATCAATGCTTTGTTTCTTAGTGTCTGTAACATGAAACAGTAAGGAGAGAAATGCTACTTTGGTTGATCTAAAACCAATTCAACAATGACACATACAAATAATATAAAAAATAAAAAACTATCTAACTTCTCCAATTATAAACGCAACACTCTTCTACCTAAAGTTAACTTAGGAGTAGATGTCAAAAGTGCCATGTAAAATTTTGGCAGCTTCAAGCAAATGAATTAAAAGGAGCACATGCACTTAGGAGTTTTCTTTTTAAAAAATAGACTTAAACCTAGGATTGGTTCCGTTATCTCCTTGCAAAACATAGCTAAACCTCATCAAATTTTGAAGTTAAAACTTTAGCAAGCTAAAACAAGTCATCAATGGAAGTTCATAAACAGAACACACATGTACGATATCAACCATGTCCTACTACCTCAGTAAGATTCACCACCACAAAACAAAATATAATGTAATCAGCATATTTCATAATTAATTATTGTCCACTATACCAATAAGCTACCAAGAAAATTCTCAGATGAGTTGCCTTTGTTATCAAATTCTATCTCGAGTCTTGACCTATGAAGCACGGACACCTCTCCGGAGGTCACGTACGAGTGTTTGACACATGTTGGACACAGACATGCGCCGGACACGCTCTAGACAAGTGTCGGACACACTGGAAAGAGTCAGACACGCTAGGACACTTGGAACACGCTACAGACATGTAGGGACATGCTTAGGACTATTTTTATCAAAAAAATTAAACATTTTAATTTTTTACTAAAATAACATACTTAAAGTTGATAAATTTGATAAAATTAAATATTTAACATAAAATACATATTAAACATTTAAAAATATGACATTTAATAAATATATAAAATTATATTTTTTGCACGTGCCCCCATTGTGTCATGTCTTGCATTTTTGAAAATTTACGTATCCGCGTGTCTGTGTTGTGTCACGTGTCCATGCTTCTTAGCTCTTGACACATCATGATGTATGCTGCTGATGAACTACTTGTGAGAAAACAGGATAAAGTAACTCAAAAAACAAAAATCCAAATTCTTAGGATGATATGCCCATTTTCTTCAATAATTGGAGTGAAGAAAGGACTGTCCTTAGTTGGATATCCACCCAAAAAAAAGAAAATGGCATTTTTATTCCTATATATTCAGCAACCTTTATCAGCATGTACATAAGCATAAAAAACACTTGTGGCCATTCTCCATTCTTGTTCACCATCACATTCACAAAATTTTAAATTGACAAATGAACAAAATTGAAACATAGCCAGTTACACAATACAACTTGTTCCGTGAATTAAGCTCGACATTAGATACTATGACTAACTTTTAGCATGACAGTGCCAAAAGAGCTAATCTGAAAGTGCCAAAAAAAATTGGTATAATCCAGAAAAGAGAAGAACAGCCTTAGCAATACAAGACTACATTAGATCTATTACTAATAAGTATCTGCTTGCAGAAAATGGAAATTCAGAATACCTCTACTAGCACTCTCTTTGGCTGGAAAACCGATTTTAGAATGTTCTTTGGTACTTGAAGAGGCAGAGGCGAGCCAAGAACGAATAGAGTTCCTTTCATGCCCTTCAAGCCATAAGTCAATGAACAGTTGGACTTCAGATAAATTGAAAGATTAAACAGAGGTTGCAGAATATTCTATACAGAAAGATCTAGTCTAGAGATAGACTACCATATAAAATAATGGCCAGCATGATGCAGTCAATGAATCTACTGGTAAGACCAGACTGTTATGGAAAAATAAAAGCGGGGAATAAACCTTGCTTGGCAGGATCTACACTCTCAAGCTTAGAAACTTGTAAGCCCACGCCCCGAATATCCTTGACATCTGTACAAAAATGGACAAAAGGTGACATCAGATTATTTGTAGCAGACTAATTTTTAGCAAGCCATTTTTTTGGACAAAACTATATCAATGACTATAGAAAAGGAAACAAAAGTGTGATATCCCCAAAAGAATGGGAGTGAAACATTATATCATAATCAGGGGCGGACCCAGGATTGGATCACTGGGGGGAACAAAATGAAGGCACTAGGGTGGATTCCAATAAGCAGACATGCCAGCCTAGGGTTTTCATGTTATCAAATGGAAGTGAAATAATGGGTATAATGATGATACATGATTTTATATTGGGTACACCATGGTGGTATCATCAATCAATGAGAGTTCTTGTGTTGAGGTAGCAGAAACTAAATAATTCAGTAAGTGAGACAATTGTTGTCTGCCTAATTCCATTTACAGAATTCTATAACAAACACCACAATAAGTCATAACCTTTTTTACCAAAATTATTCATAGCAATTCTCACCACAAATGATTTGTAACATTTACTTCACATTGTTCATAATATAACCACAACAGTCATAACATAACTATAATGATCCGTAACTTTCACTTTAAGAGTGCAAATCATAAATTTATCATTTGTAATTTTTATTACAAAGTGGCCTAGTACGCACCACAAAAAATCATAACTTTTTACATTGCCTTTTTAAGGATGCACACCATAAATTTCTTCTATAACTTGTATTAATTAGATTAATCTATCAAAAAATACATCTTGGAGAACTATTAAGAAACAATGTTAGAAACATAAAGGAAGCATTAAGGGGAGGCGGCCATATAAGCGAAGTAGATGCAATCTAACAGAATAGCTATGCAAAATAAAATGGATGCTTGTCATAGTATTGTGGAAGAGGAAGGTCACTAAGGCCTCGTTTGGGATGCTATCTTTTTAATCAATTAGCCAAAAAGTTACTAAATTAGCCAATTAGCCAATTAATCATACTAAAAAGTCAACAATTACGGTTTCTCTCTACTTTTTGCACAGCTTTTCGTAATTAGTCAAAAAGTCATCCCAAACATACAAGTTTTTTTTGCCTACCTTTTTAGCCAATTAGCCAAAAAATTACTAAATTAGCCTGTTCCCAAACGAGGCCTTAGTCAAAGCTGACTTACCTATATGAAAAGAACCAAAGAGCTGTGTGGTTATCCTTTGGATTAGCTCTACATCATCAGTAGCCATGGGAACCTGAATTTTACCAAATAAGCTTAGAACCTAGAACGCTAAGTCCAAAAACTTCTAAGAAGTGATGTAATTATCATACACATGCATCATTACCGTTATAGAGTGGCTTAGGTTCTCACAGTCTCCACAACCCATATACTTCACTGGCTCAGCGTCATTTCTTCTCTTCTTTATCTACATCACATATCGCATTGATGAGAGTACTTTTCATTCTTGCACAAGACAAAAATTAAGCAACTTTCACAGTGTGTGTTGCATGGACTCAGGCCAGGTATGGATATAGGGTGCTTGTGCGTGCCTACTGTCTAGGTGTCAGAATTCCTAAACCCTAAACCTTAGGATACAAGGATATGTACCCAAAAGTTGGGGACCAGTGTGTGAGCATCTCCTGTACATTTGAATAAATTGCATTCTGAATGATACTGCAATGAAAGATGTTAATATTAGGAATATACGTGAAATTATGAGTGACTGAGTGGGTTCCCTATCCATGTGAGAGGCATATTCTTCATCCATTGTTCAAAATTCACATATCCCAATGTCCAATTTGGGTATATTGGGGTTGGACAAATATCACGTATCCTAACCATTGTGATATCCTGTTGACGGGAACTTGTAGGGAATAGAAGAGCCCTTGAATACTGTTTTTACATAATCTAATTATGAGGAAGGCTCAATAGAATAGCATATTATTTAATTAATAATGACATTGACAATACTTAATGCAATAGTCAGATGGACAGAACCTTAAGGGTAAAACAGCGCCCTTGCACCGTACATCCCTGCAAACGCAATGAGACCTCCTTGCAAAGGTTCATGAGAAAATGCTGACACTGGAATAACAAGATATCAACACTTTCACTCAGTACAATCAGGGAGGAGAATGTCAATGTTTTTATAGTGAATTCAAGATACCAACATCTTTCAAATCGTTGAACCTCACACCCCAATTTACTTCAGCACCTACAGACTTGCTTTCCTGTAGACAAAAAGAAGCAAATGTAAGCCAATAATGGAACATGTTTTAGATATTAACACATACCAACTTAGCGATGATGCAGTTTAATCTAAAGAAGGGAAACTGCTCAAGCTGTTAGACTCTGGACTGCAGCATTTCCTTACCATCCACAGACATAAAATTATGATGTGTTGCACATCAGCAGCCATTAATTGCAGATTGATGTCGCAAAAATACATCTGAATGTATTTATACGTCTGAAAGTATTAAAATTGGCATTGGATACAAAAAAAAAATATGCTATATGATTATCTCAGTGACACCTATCTAAAAAATTTGCCTCCAACAAGAACAATTTTCACCGACTGTTACAATTAATATCAATATCTTTAAATTTACCAGAGAACTTTGGCTTGCTAATAATTCCAACCTCACTAGGAATTTGGTGTATTACAACAATGTCATACTCACTAGCCATCCAAATTAAATTATGTGTAACTAAACTACAATCAACTTGACAAGCCTTAGGCCTCATTTGGCATGTTACAGTTTTAGCCTAAAAGCCAAAAAATTACTAAAAAAACCAAAAAGTCTATAACCTATACCAAAAAGTCAAAGATTTTATTTTCTCTCTACTTTTTACACAGCTTTTCGTAAAAAGCCAATAAGTCATGCCAAACATATTAGTTTTTTTTACTTCATATTTTAGCCAAAAAGCCAAAAAATTACTAAAATAGCATGTTTCCAAACGAAGCCTTAGTCCTAACCTACGAAGCACAGACACTTCTAATAATGTGACATATCCATGTCGGACACCGACACTCTCGGATATGTGTTCAATACTCTTTTTTCCATGTCCATAATTAAAAATAAAAATCTTAATTTCGGACACGTGTCCAACACTCATTTTACGACGTGTCCATCACTTCTTGGTCATGTCTATCACTAAAAAATAAACATAAGAAAAACACTTCTTGGACATTTGCTAACACATAATTTTCAAAGCTCAAGAATTGACATGAATATCTTATACCTTTAAAAAGATGTACAATTATTAAGAATAATCCTGTAAAAGTTTCATATAAAATTAAATGAGAACGGTAACGTAAATGTATTAGTAGATGGCTTAGAAGGATGAGGAAATTGTTGCAGATTATATATGTTTACTATCTTTTGTCTAATTTTTAGAAAAATTCATGTAGGAGAATTAGATACAAGATTTACTTAGTATAAAATAATCATTTAATTTTGTATAAATTATGCACATATATAACTATATAATACAATAGATTCCTTAGATAATATAATATCAAGATATAATTATTTGTGGTGTGTCCAAACCGTGTCAATGTCCTATTTTTTTTTAACTTTTCCATATCGGCTTGTCCGTCTTGTATTGTATCCATGTCCTATTTCCATGTCTATGATTCATCGGTCCTTACTACATGGATTCATCTACACTGGTCTGCCTTCTCTGGTCTGCTTTTTAAAAGACAATTCTTAAGAATTCGTAAAAGATGACTGAAGTTTCACTTTGTCCATCTACATACAGCAACCTGCTCTTTTATCTTGGCTGGGAACCAACTGTGTAAAAGGTAAGACACTAAGCAACAAACAGGCTCTGTACTTTGCCGTTAATGCCCATTACAAGGACTAACAAACCCACAAGCAAAACTTTACCATTCCAGTTCACATTTTTTTCTTTAATCACATAATTTACACTTCAAACAAATATCAGTAAGGACTGATTGATAAATTGAATATCATGTTACACATAAACTACAATCAAACAAAAGTCCTTGAAGGACTGTTACCAATTGGGTGGGGGGGGGGGGGGGGGGTGTGCGGCAAAACAATTAACAAGAAGGTGTAAGAGAACCGACATGGTCACTCAATAGATAGATCAATCTTCTGCATGAATACATGGATACCATAAAAAAAATAAAAGAAGATATGCAGCATCGAACTTGCAATCTTAGATACATAAAGGGCATGCAATTGTTGTTAAATTTTGAAATGAGCTTTTCTATCTAAATAAAATCTACATTGTTTGCCAAACCTGGACCATTCCAACCAGCCGATCATCAATCCCTCTACTATATTTCCACAGCATATCACCAGTTCTAATCCCAAAGTCCTTTTGAAGAGATTCCTGAATAGGCCAAGACTCCATGTAAAAAACTTCCAATATCATTGCATCCTCAAATGAATTATAAAACCGTTTATGCATTTCATTACAGTTCCTAATACATAGATAGCCAGCATTGTCAAGCAGGTATTGCAAGGAACATAGTTGATTGTAATACAGTTTCAAGCATATAGCTTATAAGGGAATTTCAAAAGTTATGATGCATCCTGAGTAATTGCAAACACTAGATCTTATCCATGCCCACAGATATGTAAATGTATATCAATGAAAACCAAGGTCATGCAACAGTAGAGAACGCTTGTTATAACAAGTACATAAAGCATTAACTATCACACCCATATACACTATCTTTAGTCTAAGAAGTTGGGACAGAGTCATCAGTCACAAAAATCACATCAGTTATGCACATGCTTCACAATGATAACTGCACGTCAGACTAAACAGGAGGATACATCCATCACTGCATTCTACTCAATCTCAAATCAAAACACCATTCAAAAATTGACTGGAACTAATTAGCCACAAATCACTTTCCCATACATCAACAGATTGAGTTTCAAACTTTGAAAAAGCGTCACATGAGCAAGAAAATGATAAAGCCATTATCATGTAGTTTTGTCCACTAGATCCTTCAACTTAGGTTGAACTGCAAACAGAAGAAGATTAAGATAGATAGATGAGTTATATGATATATCAGACCAATCATGCTAACATGTGCTTCAAGGATAAGCCATCTCAACTCTCTCATTTCAACTACTCATTTTTTGTAAATGTTTTTTCTTAATCGGCCAACACTCCATACCATACATCATAGCATGTTTTATAACAGCCCTATAAGATATTTCCTTCACATTAATAAGTATTATACGAATACACAACGCTCCTGATGCACATATTCCTTCTCTATTATTGTTAACACATGTTTCTTCTTATGTTCTCTGTAGGGATTATTGTGAACTTGTAAGATTGTTGAAGGGAGACAAGTTTTGATTTCGTAGCATAGGCATGTTCTTAGGCTATGATTAGTTTTTTTCTTATGATTTCATGGTTGTATTACTTGAACTTTTGGATAAGATGATCATTCGAACTAATGTCTTATGCTCGTGTAATTTGAACTTCTGGACAATGTAGTGTAATAATTGTAGTTTGAAATATAGATTTTGGGATCAAATTTAGGACAATATGTTGTGGCTTTGGGGAATGCATAATCTGAATGGCTTGGATGAGGTTTGCCACATTTTAACAGCTCAAATTCAACTAATTAAGAATTTATTAAAGCCCCAAATTCACTTAACAGTCCATATGTGCGAGCTAAGTGGGTGCGCCTAGGCCTTGAAAGTTCCTTTGGGGCCAGAATTGAGATGGCCAAATTAGGCCCGATGTCGTTGGGCCTGCTAGCACATATATCCTTAATATGCAATGTAAGCTAGGTCAGACCCTTCCATTTCCACCAAAGTTTTGGGGCTCAAAAAGTACACTTTATGAGGGACGTAAACAATAACCCAACCAAGTACTTGGGTTATTCCCATAGAGAAGAAGAAAGAGAATAAGGGTGAAAGGAAAAAAGAATTGCTCTTGCAAGGGCCTATGTAGCATGGACTTTGGAACGGTTATTGGGTGTGGGTGTCAGTCTAAGTGTCGGATTCATCTACTTCTCATGTCCAAGACACAGGGACACAACAAATTATTCATACTTCTTAATATATATATTTGTATATATGGGAAAACGGCGTTTACAAGGTGCCATGTAACATTTCATGCATAATATGGAGTTTTATGCATATTTATATGTCAAACTCGAATTGCTAATATGCTTCTTTGGTGAATGGCCAACTACACATGTTGGTCCCTTATCCAAGCATCAACTGTTAAATGTCTATGGGTACTTAATGCATTATAAGAGTCCATGTAACATAGGCAAGAGTCCATGTAACATAGGCAAGGGCTACATAAAATCTCACAAACAAATAATAATTCTCCAAAATTTAACTCTATTTAATAGAAAAACCACATAGAAATACTAGAGAACACAAAACAAGAGTATCCAGATCAAAACCAAACCCAAGTTTCTTAAAGTAATAGACGCATTTGTACTAGGACGGTTAATGTGACGAAAGCAAATATTGCAAATCAATTTTTAAGTGTCAGAGGAAACTTCATCAAATAATAGAAAAATAATCATGTCAAAAATAGAACATTAGAAAACCTTGGAGATCATGCGCAACTGGCCACATGTCTGAATGTGTCTCACTTTCAACTTCTCCTCTAAGACATGCCCAATTCCTGGAAGTGCCTTAATTGGAAGTTCATGCAAGTAATCATCCACCTGAAATACCCAATCCACTGGCAATCAATAAAGTTGAATTAATAAGAGTCACCAAAAACTTCCTTAATTTCAGGAGTGATGCTCACTAACAAAGACATATATATGAAGTGTCTCATCATCAAGAAAGGCATTGACTTTGTTATAGGAAAGTATGGGTCATATAAGTCGATTGAATTATTCTTGATTATATAATATGAAGAAAATACACATAATAGGGGAAACAAAATCAAATGATCAAATATTTTAAAACAGAATTTAACAAGGTGACAGCAAAGCAAGAGTTTAATTATTCCCTCACAAACCCTACCAACAACTGTCAATAAAATAACTGGAATAAGACAATGCTACATTAAATTACTAAAACAACACCCAATTAGTACACATCAATGTGTGTTTGGGAAAGGAAAGATTGGATACACACCTAACCTTTGGCATAGTATACAAAATGATCAACACAACCAAATTACAAGGCGCACAATTCTTCTAAGTTACAAAATTTGTAAGAAACAGAATAAAGTGGTTGTTTAGTAGGGCTTTGGAACGGGCTTCCCAACTGTAGAAGCACTTTTAAGATTTTTCAAATTGTTTGGTGAGTATTTGGAAACATACTTTGTTGGAAGCCCAACACCTTGACAACGCATTTCAAAGAAGTAAGGCTCGTTTTTTAGATTGACTTCTCAGGAAGCCCAAAACTCACTTTAGTGACAACTTTTAATGACCAATATTATCCCTATACTTTTTTTCAAAAAGCCCATAGCACCCCTCGTTCTTTATTCTTTATTTTAATTCACAAACCCTAACACACACTCTTTTTACCACCATATGTTGAGCTTATTCCGTCTCTGCTACAACAACCACCAAAAACAGAGCAACATAGCAACACTTTATGCACAGTAGAGATTATAAAACCCACCCACTTGTTCCCTCTTTATTCCAAATCAACAGAAGCTGCCAAATACAATAAAACAAGATAATGAACAATTGTTTATAACATACCTTCTCAGGAGGGATGTAGAATTGACCATCTGGTTTAGCAGCTCTCGTGGCAAGGCGAGCCATTAGCAAATTCCCAGCAATTCCAGCACTTGCGGTGCATCCTGTAGCTTCAAATATCTCTTTTCTAATTACTGAAGCTAATAACTGAGAATCTTCCACTTCTGATTCCGTGACATCTAAAAATGCTTCGTCACAGCTTACAGCCTGCTTTCAATCAAAGATGCAAATTTAAAAGTAGACAGCTGGAAATTTGATGTCATTGGAAATCATGCATTTCCACTAGCAGACCTGCACTTTGCTGCAATGTTTATGCAGGATATTGTAAAACTGATCAGCCACCTGCAATTTGTCCAAGAGACCATATAACTCCAAGGAAACCCACATGATGGAATAACATGGTATAAAAGAAATGGAAGAAAAAGAGCATCAGTTGTGTCCCAATACAAGTAGTCTAAACAGTGAAATTGGTTGTTTACCTGCTCATAAGCTTCAAAGTCATAAGGAAGAATGACAAGGTGAGGACAAAGAGCCTTGGCGTTTCTAACAAATATTCCAGCCCGTACTCCTGATAAAACACAAACTATCATTAAACACAAAAAGAGAAACCCCGACGTAAATAGGGCTGCTGATTGAAATATACGTTACTAAGCACAAACCAACCATAATCTCGAGCAGGGTAGTTTGCAGACGAAATTTCAGCAGTTCCTCGTGGATTGTCAGAATGGCACACAGCTACAGGCTTATCCCTTAATTCCGGATGGTTCCTTATGACCACTGAAACAAAAAAAGAGTCCTAGAAACAACATGTTGCAAATGTGTTGTTACTCGATACTTGCCCCTGCAGTATAGAGAAAATACAAGTAGCCTCACAGTTTTAGCATAATTACAAGGACTTCCCTTCTAGGAAGGTTAAAGCAATTGAAAACTAATGCAAATAGTGTGAAATCACAATGATAAACAAGGAAAATATAAATTTCAGTGTAAAAACATATGACATGTAAGAATATATGTAATTTATGTATTATTGATTTATTGATTGTTGTACATTTTGTATATTACAAGGATGTATTATATAGGAGAAGTTTTGGGAGTAGGTGAAGTGTAGTGGAGGTGGTAGGTGATTTTAGCATAATTACAAGGACTTCCCTTCTAGGAAGGTTAAAGCAATTGAAAACTAATGCAAATAGTGTGAAATCACAATGATAAACAAGGAAAATATAAATTTCAGTGTAAAAATATATGACATCATCATTTTTTCTTCCATATGACTAACGAATTATTATGAAAATGGGGGCTAAGTGTTACGTGAATTAAAACTTTAAGGGAGTTCAACGTAATTATGCCACAACAATGGGACTTGTTGTATCTTCTCCAAACCTTGGGCGTGGTAATTTACCCTAAATCTCATATTATGATGTCAATGATGATAGTACTCCAAATTAAACACCATAGTAGATGAATTAGTGAGGATAAACAGAAAAAAGAGACAGAAAATCATAAGCAATTATTAGCCTGAATGTAGGGATTACCATGTCCACATGGATAACAGAAGTCCTCAAAGAAGAAACCTTAACATCAGGAACTGTGTACTTAAAGCTAGGAAAACGCTTACGATACCGACTTCTCCAGGTACCTATGAAGTGTAGCCTAGAGCTCTGAAAAAACCAGAGCTTAGTAAGATATACAACCCCCACAAAAGTAAGTTTAGTGCTCTAATAACATAATCATGGCCAAAATATTACATAGCAAATCAGAAAGCATGTGACATTGCATTTTCATTTCAGGAAATTTAGAGAGCATCAGCCTCTGATTTAGTGTAACAAAGAGTCCAGAAGAATTGCTATTAATTAAAGTCCTGGACAATGGAAGTGAATCCAAATACAGAAAACATGACAGATAACATCCAATAGAGAATTTGCCAGTCAGGATGAGGAAAGTAGCTCAATCTCAATGCAATAGATGAAAATCCAGGAGTGTCAATCATGAAACGCTAAATGATGATCCACAACATTCTGCATTCTGGAAATGATTCCAAGCATAATTAAAATTACTGAAAATCCAAACTAATTTAATATTTTACGTAAGTATTTAAAAAATTTCACAAAGAACTAAATTATTTGAAAATTATAGAACTCCACAATCATAGCAAAATGTTACAACTCTTGAAAACTTAAGCAACTTGACAGTGAGAATACATGTGGTGTGCTACATTACATATGAATTAAGCCTGATTCATGAAAGAATCAGACAAATATGCCATTTCTGAGTCCATAGCAGCTGATTCGCCAGAGTCAGAGACATGATTATCCAATTTGGCCATAAAGAGGATGCACAAAAATAATCATTTCTCTTTACCTTGAAATAATTTTCCACAAAATTGGGGTCGACAAGAGTAGAATGCTGCGGCTTGGAAGGCCCAACAACTGCTGAACTTATTGATCTTTTAGTATTGTGGCTGCTAACTGAAGCAGAAGGCCGAGAGGGGCTAGCTTGATCTTCAATTCCAGCACTGCTCTTATGTATAATTGGTTCAACCGTTTTCCCTTCACTATATTTTCCATCATTACATGTTGGCTCCTCAATTACTGTTCCTGTACTATTCCCATGCACACCATCATCCCATTCTCCACTACATGGCCTTGAGTGTTCCATGGATCCACCAGATAAGTGAGCCTCCTTAATTGTGCCACCTTCCAATGATGGATGCTCAGTTTCAGGTTTTATTTGACCATTCACACAAGTCACAGTATCATTTAAGACTGGACTGTTTTTCAGAGCAAAAAAGGCCGATAGCTTTGGTTGGTTATGAGCTTCACTAGCAATCTGGTCAAGTTGGTAAGGTACCCCTGCAAAGAACACATTAAAACAAGAATGAAATCAATTAATCCATAGATATGAAGCATCATAAAGTGCAAAGTTTCAAAACATGGTCACCTGTATACTCAAACTACTGAACATTTCAAGGAATCAAAGCAACACAAGAAGAAACAGTTTTATAACAGCCTCATCTAACTATCTTCATTAGATAGATTTCTCAATACATTTAGACCATCGCTACTTTATTCCTCGGCATTTCAATATACCTTTGTTTTTGGAAAGGTCATTCCAATATACCTAGCTCATGCTTCAAGGAAATCCATGTATAGAAAAACTAACAAAGCAGTTGGAAACAGATTACAAATTTACAAGGAAATGAATACAGAACTGTTAAAAGGGCTTCCCTTCTTTACCATTGCCAATCAACTTCCTTTCCTTTTCCTTCTTGTTATTTAGAACTGTTAGAATAGTTCTTTTAGTTATTTTTGTTATTTTTGTTCTCTTGTTAATATTTACTTAAGTTGAGGGTACGATGGTCATATTGCTACTTTAGGTTTTTCATATATATTTGAGTGATGTAAAGTTGAGGGAATTAATTTGGTTTTCAATATATACAAACGTTCTCTCTTCTTCTTCTTCCTCCTAACTTTCAACCCTAATTTCTCCATTTTACATTCTCACTTGGTATCAGAGCAATCTCTTCTTCATTAGAAAGGGTTCTACAGATTCTAACGATCGATCTGAGGTGACCGAGACGTGCTGATGTCATCAGCCGTACGATGACGTCAGCATGACGTAAGCAGTGTACGGACAGGTCCTTCACCCCTAGACTCGAAATTGCCTCCTGAGATTTATGGTGATTTTTGTGGAATTTTTTGATCATCCCTGATGTGAGTTTTCGATTTTTGAAACTATTTCGTGTTTTGGGACTGTTTTTTTTAATCTGCCTTTGAGACTATTTTTTCCTGATTTTTCTTGTTGGGCTCACTTCCCTAGGAGCCGAAAATCACCCCTCTAAAGGTCCTTGATCTTAATTTGTCGGTTTACTCATGTTGGGTTGATATTCTGTTCGATTTTTGGCTGTTTCTGGTCCAGTCACCTTGTGTTCTTCGGTTCTACCTATTGAAGGCTCCTATATAAGGGCTGAAACCCTTCTAGCAAGGGATATTTGTCCTCTCTTTATTGATTGCTACTGTTGGGTTGATGTGTTGGTCTCATTTGGGTCCAAACTTGGTTGTTGAGCTAGTTCTGTGTTTATATTGGTGATTGTGGGTGTGGGTATTGGCTGTTTGCAAGTCTGGTTAATCATTATGGTTGAGATTGAGGCTAAGGCTATAACTATGGGTAAAGATGATGACATGCCTAAATCTATCACTATAAAGAAATTGAATGGTGCTAATTATTTGGCTTGGGCCCATGCTGTCAAGATTTTCTTACGAGGTAAGAAGAAGTCCCACTATATTAGTGAACTCCCTCCTCCTACTGATGATAAGGATTATGATGATTGGTGTTGTGAGGATTCTTGTGTGATGGGTTGGATTTGGCATAGTCTGGAACCACAGGTTGCTACTACCGTGGAATTTTGTGATACCTCTAAGGCCATTTGGGACTCCCTTGCTAAGTCTTTTTCAAATCAAAGTAATGTCTCTCGGGTCTACGAGTTATATGAACAGATTTTTGCTATGCGTCAATCTGGCCGGTCTCTCCCTGATTATTATAGTAGTCTCAAGACTTTGTGGGATCAGTTACTGCAGCATCAACCTTGCACTACTGATGTGACCACCCAGAAACAACATTGGGAGGAGTTTATGATGGCTTCTTTACTTTCTGGCTTAGATCCTGAGTTGCGAGGGTTCAAAGATCAGATTCTTGCCAGTGACACTCTACCTTCAACTGCCAATGCCTATTCTAGGCTGTTACGCTCCTCATTGGGACAAGCATAATCCACTTCTGGGTCCTCTTCTTTATCATCTTCTGCATTGGTTTCTAGCAGTGGTGATCATGGGTCTACTCGCGGGGGTTTTCATAGTTCTTTTGGTTCCCGGAGCTCTTCTTCTGGTTCACGGGGCTCTCGTGGTGGTGGTTCTCGTAGTGGTGGCTCACGTGGTGGTTTCCGTGGTGGAAGTAGTAGTGGACCTGGTTCTCGTATACGTGGCGATCGCAAGTGTACTCATTGTGGTTCCCAAGGTCATACTGAACCTTGGTGTTGGCAAAAGCATGGCAGACCTGATCATGTCCATCAGGTTATGGATGTCCCCTCCTCACAGTCTTCCTTGTCGTCCATTGGCTCGGATGCTTCTCCTGTTACTTCGCATGAGACACTCACTACTCAAATTAGTGGGCTTACTGCCCTTGTCCAGTCTCTCCGGCCTAGTCTACCTTCTTCCTCTACTGCTACCATGGCTAGTTCAGGTAATATTGCATGTGTGGCTAAGTTCTCTCAGCCTTGGCTCCTAGACTCTGGTGCTAGTTCTCATGTCTCTGGTAATTCCTCTCTTTTTAATACTCTTAGACCTGTTGATCATACCATTATACTTGCTGATGGATCTTCTCAGCCTGTCTGTGGTCAAGGTCCTCTTTATCCCACTCCATCCATATCCTTACCTTCTGGTCTTTATGTTCCTAAATTTCCATTTAATTTGCTTTCTGTTAGCTAATTGACTCAAGCTCTCCATTGTTCGATAACCTTTTCTCCTACTTCATGTGTTTTGCAGGACCTCCAGACCAAGAGGATGATTGGTTCGGGGCATGAGAAGGATGGCTTATACTTTTTGGACGCTGAGACGTCTCCTCCTCCATCTGCTGTGTTGAGTGCTAGTGTATCTCCTCTTCAGTGGCATTTTCGCTTGGGTCATCCCTCCTTGGCCAAGCTCAAGTTAGCTGTTCCGGGTTTGAGTCATGTTTCTCAGATTGAGTGTGAAGCCTGTCAATTTGGGAAGCATCATCGTAGTTCTTTTCCTCGTCGTAGTGTTAGTCATGTGTCTGAGTCTTTTGCTCTTGTCCATACAGATATTTGGAGTCCTTCTAGAACTCCCACTGTTAATGGGTTCTTTTATTTTGTTATTTTTGTGGATGATTACTCTCGGATGACTTTGTTGTTTTTAATGAAACAAAGATCTGATTTGCCTTCCATCATCTCTAAGTTTTATAATGAAATCTTTACTCAATTTGGCAAACGTATTAAGATATTTCGGTCTGATAATGCCTTAGAATATGTGCAATCTATTGTAACTACCTTTTGTGATGCTCATGGTATTATTCATCAAACTAGTTGTCCTCATACATCCCCACAAAATGGTGTTGCAGAACAAAAACACCGCCATTTGCTAGATGTTGCTCGCACCCTGATGTTTAATATGCATGTCCCCAAACAGTTTTGGGGCGATGCTGTTCTCACTGCTTGTTTGCTTATCAATCGCATGCCCTCTAGTGTTGTACACACATCTCCCTATTCTCTGTTATATCCCACCACATCTCCTTTTCCCTTGCCTCCTCGCATTTTTGGGTGTGTGGCCTTTGTCCATGTTCTTGACCCTGGGTTGGATAAGTTATCTCCTCGTGCACGCAAGTGTGTGTTCTTAGGTTATTCTCGCACTCAAAAAGGGTACCGGTGTTATCATCTTGAGTCTCGTCGCTACTTTGTCAGTGCTGATGTAACGTTTTTTGAGTCTACTCCGTTTTTTTCTTCCTCTGGGCAACAGTTATCTACTGATCTTCTCTCTTCTCGTGAGGGGGAGCCAGCCTCTCTCACTCCTACTCTTCCCTCTTATGCTCCTTCCACATCCATTCCTCTATCCTCACCCTCTCCTCTCATTTCTACCCCTCCTTTGCAAGTTTATCAACGGTCTCAAGCTCATCGCATTGTGTCTTATGGCCCGACCAGTTCATCTCCTGCGTCTGAGGCCCCTGTTCCACCTGCTGCTCTACCATCTGATGACCTTCCTATTGCCCTCCGCAAAGGTAAACGCACTTGCACTCAACATCCTATTGCTCATTTCGTTTCTTATGATCGCCTCTCTCCTGGTCTTCACTCTTTTGCTTATAGCTTGTCTAGTATTTCCATTCCTCACACCTATCTTGAGGCTATGTCCATCTCTAGTTAGAAGTTTGCCATGAATGAGGAAATGCATGCTCTTCATCAAATTCAGACCTGGGACCTTACCCCGCCGCCATCTGGCAAATCTATTGTAGGTTGTCGTTGGATTTATACTGTTAAGTATCTTCTTGATAGAACTGTTGAGCGACTTAAGGCTCGCCTGGTAGCTAAAGGCTACACCCAAACCTATGGTGTTGATTACTTGGAGACCTTTTCTCCTGTGGTCCGTCTTTAACTCTGTTCGGATTCTTCTCTCTGTTGCAATTAATCAGTCTTGGCCTTTATATCAACTGGATATCAAGAATGCTTTTCTCCATGGTGATCTCCACGAGGAGGTCTATATGGATCAGCCCCTGGTTATGTTGTTCCCGGCCAAGAGCATCTTGTTTGTCGCTTGAGGAAGGCCTTGTATGGTCTTAAGCAGTCCCCTCGTGCCTGGTTTGATTGCTTCAGTGCTGTTATGCTTGCCTATGGCTTTCACCGTTCCACTTTTGATCACTCTGTTTTTGTTCGCCACTCGTCTACTGGGAGTATTGTTTTTATTGTCTATGTGGATGACATCATCATTTCAGGGAGTGACTCCAATGGTATTGCTGATTTGAAGCAGTATTTGGGACAACAATTTCACACCAAAGACTTGGGCCATCTTCGGTATTTTCTTGGGATTGAAGTTGCCCGTTCTTCTTAGGGCTTGTTTCTTTCTCAACGGAAGTATGTTCTTGATCTTCTTACTGAGACTGGTCTCTTAGGCACTCGCCCCAGTGATACTCCCATGGATTCTAGTGTCAAGCTTGCTGGTGACACAGGCGACTTCTTTCCTGATATTGGTCGTTATCGTCGGTTGGTTGGCAAGTTAATATATCTCACTGTCACTCGTCCAGATATTACCTATGATGTAGGTGTGGTCAGTCAGTTTATGCATACTCCATTTTGTGGCTGTATGTTGTATCTTGCAATACTGAAAGCGTGCTCCAGGTCAGGGGTTGCTCTATCGCCCATCTTCTTCCTTGTCTGTCACTGGCTTCAGTGATGCTGATTGGGCTGGTAATACGACTGACCGCCGTTCCACCTCAGGCTATTATACTTTTGTTGGTGGTAATCTTGTCACTTGGCGTAGCAAGAAACAGACCGTCGTTGCTCGTTCTAGTGCTGAGACTGAATATCGCGCCATGGCTCATACTGCTTCTGAGATGCTCTGGGTTCAGTCTCTTCTCCAAGATTTTGGCTTTTCTGTTTCCACTCCTATGCGCATGTTTTGTGGCAGTTAGGCTGCTATCTTCATTGCCAATAACCCTGTGTTTCATGAACGCACCAAACATATCGAAGTTGATTGCCATTTTATTCGTGATCTCTTACTCCGCAAGCAACTGGTGACTCCTTATGTTCGTTCTGAGGATCAATTGGGTGATATTCTCACCAAACCTTTGGCTCGGCCTTCATTTCTTCGTTTGTCTGCCAAGCTGGGCATGTTCGATCTCTATGCTCCAGCTTGAGGGAGAGTGTTAAAATAGTTCTTTTAGTTATTTTTGTTATTTTTGTTCTCTTGTTAATATTTACTTAAGTTGAGGGTACAATGGTCATATTACTACTTTAGGTTTTTCATATATATTTGAGCGATGTAAAGTTGAGTGAATTAATTTGGTTTTCAATATATACAAGCGTTCTCTCTTCTTCTTCCTCCTCCTAACTTTCAACCCTAATTTCTCCATTTTACATTCTCACTAGAACCAAAAGTAGCAATTAAAAAGTAATGAAAATTCAAAAGCTGCTCAGATCTAGAACCAATAAATCAAGTTAATAAATAAAAAAGAGAAAAAGAAAAGAAAGAAAGCTTACAACTTAAAAGTTTATTAGCAGCAACAGAATCCAACACCCAAGCGGGTTTCACTACTGGGAGCCCACCACTAAAAGACCTAACGTAAAAACACCAGCGATACAAATTATAGGAGTTAAAGAAATGCTTATTATCAGCATTGGATGTCAAACTTGATCATGCAATGCAAACCTCAGGTTCTTAATTTTACTGTCAGGAAGGTTACTGCAGATGACATGAGTAACACGATGCCTAGAAAAATAATTCTCCAAGCGTCCTCCATGCCTTAGCATGTAACTTCGCAGTTCCTGTTAAGGTTTCAGTAAGGAAACAGTAAAATAAATATGCATACACACATACTACTAATGAAATCAATGTGTGCCAACGTGCATACAAATTTGGTTTTCCTTTGATTTTATTCCAATTTCTTGGCAACCCTACTGGCATTCAACACAAATTATCAAAGTTCATCAAAACCTGACTAGGGGGAACCGTAAATCCATCAACGAAAATAGAAACCCCTTGAAAAATAGGTTTCCCACTAGTTGAACCGCTGTTAGAAGAACTCGAAGCTTCAGCATCAAACTGTTCCTGTAATTTCTGATTCTTCACTGCCATGTAACTGAAACAAAATGTTGCAAACCATCAACATACATTCACAATCTCAGAATTTTTCTCATTCTTTTCCTCCTTTTTCTTTCACTCATTACATTATCACTAAGGCTCCGTTTGTTTTGAGGTAAGATGTTTTTGTCAAAAATATTTTACTCATTTTCCGTTGTTTGGTTGAACAAAAAGCAAGTCACATTTTTTAAGAAAAATATTTTTACATCATTTTCTCAAAAATGACTTACCCTTAAAAATTTGGTAAGTCAATTTTTATGAAAACTCTTACTCACTACATTTTTAACACATTTAGTATTTTCAAATATCTCAACTCACTAAAAATCATAAATGACACTTTGGGCTCATTTAGGAAGTTGACTATTTTAATTGATTTTTTGACTTTTGGGATTGTTTGAGATGATCTAAATAAGTGTACTTTTTACTTTTTATGCAATATGGGTTGGATTTGAAGTGATATGACTTAAATAACATGATGTGACTTAAATAGGATAGTGACTTTTTGACTTTTTTCAAACATGCCAAACTAGTTTAAAGCCTAGCTAAAAAAGCTATGTTGGGAGTTGATTGGCTTTCTTCTTTTCTTTTTCTTTTTTTGTAGTTGATTTGATAGTTATTAAATAAAAAGTGAAATGTTTATAGTTTTAATGTGACATTTTGTCTGAGGCCTCGTTTGGCAAGTGATTTTTTTAGTCAAAAAGCCAAAAAAGTCACTAAAAAAAACCAAAAAGCCAACAACTCATACAAAAAAATCAAAGATTCTTTTTTTCTCTCTACTTTTTGTACATTTTTTCGTAAAAAGTCAAAAAAATCATCCCAAACATACTAGTTTTTTTTAGCTTATATTTTAGCCAAATAGTCAAAAAAGTTACTAAATTAGCCTGTTCCCAAACGAACTAAATTAGCCTATTTTGTCTTTATTGGCTAGTTTAGCCAAAAAAAACCATTGCCAACCAGAGACAAATTGAATCAAAATTTCTCTTGCGGGCAATAAAATATTTTTATTTCTAAGTGCCAACCAAACGCTAAAACATAAAAACAAAAACATTTTCTCTTTGTAAAATTAATTTACAATAATTTTTTTTTTTTTTTTTTGGTAAATACATCTAAACAAATGGAGCCTAATTATTAAGTGTTTGCAAGCAAACTGCCAATATATGTTAAAATAAATAATGAGAAAATAATTTATACTATCCTCTTATAAACTATTTGTTGTGCAAATTCAACCAAATTTGTTGAAAACCATTGGGATAACGCATCAAAATACCAGCATTCAACTTTTTAAAACCAAAAAAGAGAGAGAAATTGATTCATTTGAACTACTTGTAATTATCCAACAATGCCGTGGGGGTGTTGCAATATAAACAAGTTCTACTCAGTTATCTCACTCGTGTGATTATACTGTTTCACAAAACCATCAAGAAAAGCATCGAGCATACTATGGAGAGAGAGAGAGAGAGAGAGAGAGGGGACCTGCTTCACAAAACCATCAAGAAAAGCATCGAGCATACTATGGAGAGAGAGAGAGAGAGAGAGAGAGAGAGAGAGAGGACCTGCCAAAATCGGAGAAAGGCGAATTGCGGAAGGAGGAAAGAGAGGAAGAGCGAGAATTGGAGCCCCAAGCCACGCCTAGGGTTTTCTGGGTGGTCTTTTTCTTCTTATTGGTGTTGTTGTTGTTGCCATTGTTAGTGTTAGTGGAAGGGTTTGAAGAGATTGAATTGAAGCTTCTCTTCGATTTGGAGCCAGAGTTTGCAGAGCGAGACGAGTCGAAACTCATTTTTGGTTGAGATTGTTAGGGCATGTTTGGTATGATTTTTTATGAGGGTATTTTGTGGCGGCGTTGAGAAACGAAACTTGCCTGGGAAGATTGTTATTTGCGTTTAAATGAAGCGGCAACCTCAGACATGTCTGTGTTTGTTTTGGAGGAGGATTGATTTAGGCCAAGTTTGGGAAGACTAAATAAGTGTACTTTTTGTCTTTTTATGAAATATGGGTTGGATTTGGGTTGGGTTTGAAGTGATGTGTTAGAGAGGTGATGTGACTTAAATAACTGAGAAAAACCTAAACTTTTGGTCTTTTTTCAATCATGTCAAACTTGACCTTATTATAATACATTTAATTGGAATGTATTGGTACGGGAGTGTTTGATAGAACTTATAAGCTGCTTATTTTAGTTTTTAACTTAATTTAAGCTAAAACATTGTTTTTGTTACTGCTTAACTCATCAGATTATAGCTTAAATTAAGTAGAAAAATAATTTTTTCTTGAAGTGGCTGGGGGCCACCAATTTGTTTGAAATACAAATTATCTTATATAATTTAAAAAATTATTAATATTTTTTGTTAAAATTTTTTATTTAATAAAATTTATTTAAAATTAAAAATTTCTAATTATTTATCTACATAATAATAAAATTATTTAAATTATTAATTAATTTAATATTTTATTAATAAAATGATCTATTTGTTATGAAATTAGAAATTTTATAAAGCATAATGTAATTTCTAACATCACAGAAGATAATTTATAATTTAAATAAATCTCAAGAGGTATATTTATAATTTACCCAAAAATTAATTTGTAAGTAACTTCCCAAAAAAAGTTTTACACGAATATTCTTAAATGATTCGAAAATATATTTTTTTGTTATTATTTTAATTTCTTAAATTACAAAAATAAACAAATAATTTTTTAAGTTATTAAAAAATATCACTTTACTTTTTAAGTTACAAAAACGTGCAATCGAACACCCTTTTATAATTTATGAAGTAAATGATACTTAAAGCCAAGTTTGGCATGATTGAAAAAAGACAAAAAGTCAAAAAGTCACTATCCTATTTAAGTCACATCATCTTATTTAAGTCACATCACTTTTCTAACACATCACTTCAAACCCAACCTAAACTCAACCCATATTTCATAAAAAGTCAAAAAGTACACTTATTTAGTCTTCCCAAACTAAGGCTAAGTTTAGGTACTTCCAAAAAAGCCAAAAAGCCAAAAAGTTACTCAAAAAGTTAAAAAGTTAACACTATTCACCAAAAGTCAACAAATCAAAAGTCAACAATTACGGCTGCACAACTCTCAATTCAAATTTTTCCCTACAAATCAATTTTTACAATTTTTTATTACACATTTTTCAATAAAAAGTCAAAAAGTTAACCCAAACATCCATATTTTCAACCTCAATTTTTTAGTCCAAAAAGACAAAAAGTGCACTTTTTTAATCTTCCCAAACTTAGCCTAAGCCTTAACAATTTATAGAGGCAAAATAATAATTCTTAATAATTTATGAGTCTCCATATAATAACCTTAACAAATTATAGTACAAATCAGTCCCCCCCTTTCATTTATAAAATATTAATTATAAAATAAAGTTGAAAAATACAAAACAGTATGTTTAGTTTCAATTTCTTTAAAATTGAGTTTTTTTATTTTTTGTAATTTTTTTATTTTTAGTCAAATATTTTTAAAATTTTAAGTGATTTTTTATATTTTTTTAGATGCACCTCATTTAGATGTATTCAGAAACTAAAATATTTGTAAAAATATATATTTTAAAATTTATTTGGTGAATCTAAAAATTTTAAAAAATTCTTAGAATAAAAAAAAAGTGAAAACAAAAAAAAAACGAAAAATAAAAAATTCCAATTTTTTGAAAAAAAATGAATCCTGAAAATAGGAACCAAACAAGTTGAATAGTATTATTTATAGTTGTAGATTAAAATATTTATTTTTATCATTTAATTTTGTTAACATTTTAAATTTAAATAATAAATCATTTTAAATAATTTAATATTCCTTGGAGAAAAAATAAAAATAAGAACTTAACAATTCATCTCTATTCAAACTTGACTTAACATCAAGCCTATTCAACCTATCCTAGGCCGAGTATAATAGGCTTGATGTTAAGGCCTAGTTTGGGAAGACTAAATAAGTGCACTTTTTGACTTTTTATGAAATATGGGTTGGGTTTGGGTTGAGTTTGAAGTGATGTGTTAGAGAGGTGATGTGACTTAAATAAGATGATGTGACTTAAATAGGATGGTGACTTTTTGACTTTTTGTCTTTTTTCAATCTTCCCAAACTAGGCCTAAATTAAGTTGATATTTTCTTATGGGTAATGTTTAAGTGTGCAACCCCCTTAAGGTTGCACACCATATGCAACTCAATTGTTAGTTGTTAGATTACAATAATTGATCAAGACCATTGAATTGTTTAATCGTGAAAAAGTTGAAACCGGGGCAACCGGTTAATGCTTGTGTTTGTATTTGCATGATTGCATCCCACTCACTCTCTGTATTTCGTCTCCATCTCTCTTTGTGTAAGGTTGAGTCAGTGTAACCCTTGATTTCCATTAACAGCGAGAAGCCCCTGCTGGGTTGGTTCCATTGACGAAGCTCTGTGGGGAACAGTATAACGGGCAATTTCCAACAACAATGGAACTACAAGGCTGTGTTGGTTCGATTGCTGAAGTGAAGCCCTTCTCTCCAACTAGATATAAGGTATGGAGCTGTCTCCCTCTCTCTGTATCCCTCTCTGTCTCTCTGGCCTCTTCACTTCAGCTATTTTCCCTCAACTAAACCCCCATCTTAACTTCAACCGCTCTACGCTTCGCTCAAACGGAAACCCCTCCATTGGAAACTAACCTTTCACTTTCTCAAGCGAGTGTTTGTGTTTACACGAACAACTAAACCGTGTGAAAATGTCATGTTTGTGTTTGTGTTAACATTTTGCGGTCATCAAGTAATTGTTTGTACTAATGTCATGTGCAGTATGGCCTCAGCGGAAGTTAAAAGTGAAGGTGATGATTATGACATTCCAAATGAAGCAGATGACATTCGTTTGATGAATGAAAGTCGGGCGGAACCTTATCATGGTTGCGAAGCTGGTCCGAGCAATGAAGAAGCAACCAACATGAACGTTGAAGATGGCGGAGCCGATGTGAAAAAAGAAATGGTTGACGATGCTCATCGCAATGACATGGTTGGT